TTGTGCAAACAATCTACCTTGTGAGGTTTTTCCTTATAAGTTTGCAAATTTGTGTATCTCTTTAAGAAAGAGTGTTCTCAAGAATTGGGGTATATTCTTGAGGAAGTTGTAAGGTTATCTCTTTGGCCTCAAAAGAAAGAACAAATTAGTGAATTTGTTGGAAAATCCTTAGTGTACTAAGGTAGTGGACGTAGACTTTGGTTGAGAAAGTCGAAACACTCTAAATCGCTGTGCAACTTCTTTCAATTTTCTGCAAAAACTTCCACCAACTTTTTAATTTCCAATTCACCCACCTCTTGGTCGATTCCGTCAATCGATTAACTCAACAATTGGTATCAGAGCCTCACTCATTTGAAGGTTTAATCGCCTCTTGAGTCGATTCGGGAAGAGTTACATCGATTTTCAAAGTCATCAATGGTCGGCACTTCAAACTCCGACTTCGGTCTTGATTCATTGCCCGTTAACAAGCTTCTTTTCTTCAATGGAGCTAATTATGCTTATTGGAAGAATAGGATGATGTATTTTATTCAAGCAAGTGACATGGGAGCATGGAATATCATAGAATATGGATACATCAAACCCTCCACTCACCCAAGGTTGTAGAGTGAAGGAGAGGCAAGAATGTTCCAGCTCAACTCCAAAGCCATCCATATCATTTTTTGTTCTCTTGGACCGGATGAATACGGAAGAGTTTCATCTTGTACAACCGCCAAGGAGATATGGGACAAACTACATGTCACTCATGAAGGCACAAGCGAGGTAAAAGAATATAAAATTAGTCTTCTAACTCATAGCTATGAAAATTTCAGGATGAAACCGGATGAAGATGTCAAAGCTATGATGGATAGATTCTCTACAATTATCAATAGTCTCAAATCATATGGAGAAATCATTCCAAATGACAAGCTTGTAAGGAAGTTAGTTTACTCTCTTCCAAAAGCTTGGCAATCAAAGAAGACGGCAATCATCGAGGCTAAGAACTTGAAATCCTTGACCCTCGATGAACTTATTGGCTCTCTCCTCATGCATGAAATGATGCTTAAAGAAGAGGAAGATCTTGAGAAAAGAGACGAGCCAAAGAAGGAGACGGAGAAGAAGAAGAACGTGAGAGTTGCCCTCAAATCAACAAAAGATGAGAGTGACTCAGATGACGAGGAAATGACATTGTTTGCCAAACGGTTCAGAAAAATGATGAGGCCTAGTCGAGGAAGAAAATTCAAACGAAATGAAGGCTTCAAAAATGAACCAAAAGAGAAGGACCCGATCATTTGCTATGAATGCAAAAAACCAAGGCATGTCAAATATGATTGCCCACAATTGAAGAGAAAGGGTCAATCAAATAATAAGCACAAGGCTCATGTGGCTACATGGAGCGATGAAGAAGGTTCGATAAAGAGGAACAAGAAGTAGCAAACTTGTGCTTGATGACATTCGGGGAAGATTCTAAGGTAACCACTAACTCATTTGATTTAGATGATTTATCTTATGATGAGTTATTAGAGGAATATAATGGGTTGGCTTCGGATTATGAGAAATTGTTTTTAAAATATAAAAATGATATTTCAAAATTGAAAAATAAAAATAAACTCATATCCAAAACCAACAACGATCTTGAAAGTAAAATCAAAGATTTGCAAATCAAACTAGAAGAGTTTGAAAAGAAAAATTTGGATTTGCAAAATTTACTTTCAAAGGTCAATGATGATCATCAAAAGAAAATTGATGATTTTAAAGCTTCTTTTGATAAAGTTAGAACAAAACGTTTTGAAAATAGAGAAAATTAAAAATTCAACTTTGTTAGAAAAAGTGTTAAAAACTACAATCATAAAGGTCCCCGAAGAACCTCTAATGGAAAAATCGTTAGAAGTGTATGGGTTCCTAAAGGACTCGTGTAACATCCTCAATATCGGGTTAGTGATTAAAGTGTAAGATTTTAAAATTTCAGTGATCAAATTAAATAAATTGAAAAGTGAAGGAATTAATTAAAAGATGTTGGTGTAGGATGAATTAATAAGTGAATGAGAATTAAAAGGGTAAAAGGGTCATTGAGCAAAGGTAATAATTAAATATTAGATATTGGGTATTATAATACCCAAGGGAAAGAAACAAGAGTTTCCAGATAACTCTTGATTCTTCTTTCTTCTTCATTTTCTTCTTCAACGTGAAGCACCCAAACCTAAGGTAAATTTGATTTCTTTTGGTTAATCCTTCAAATTAAAGTATGGTTTGATTTATGAAGCTTTAGGAAAGATTATGGAGATGAAAAATATTATAGAAACTCAAAGATTGGTGAGTTATGAAAGATTAAAGATAAGAAGTGGATGAGTGAAATCTTGAATAAGGATGTATAAATGGATTTAGAAGTTAAAATTAACTTGTCATGCGTGAAAGTAAATGATATGAAGTGTTAGAACTAGATTTAGAACATGTTGAAATTTGAGTAAGATTCTTGAATTCAGTATTAATGATTGGATTTGTAAGGTTAAGAGGTATTAAATGG